AATATTTCATTGGTTCCTCCTTTGTTTTCATTGCCCATGCCTCTAATCTAGGCCCTATCACTCTTCTGATTACTGTCTCCTAACTTTTCTGTTTCGCTTTCAAAAGCTATTCTTTATCTTCTCACTATAGTTTTTCTAATGGATATCTAACGCTGTTTCTCCCCCCTTTCCTATCATAAATTTACTGTAGACAAAACATCTATACTCTTGCCTCTCTGCTTTTCCTTGTTATTTTCCTTTAATCTGGCAAATTCTTAATCACATGTGGTAGTCATTGGTACAGTTCCACCAATAATCTGATGGCTCTCTTTTGGCACATAGTAATATTGCACTTCTCTGTCTCCCTCCCCCACTTGAAAATAGGCATGGTCCAGGGTTTCTCAAACTTGGCACTACTGACATTTTGGGCTGGATAAATTTTTGTTGTGGGAAACTGTCCTCTGCATTGAAGGATGTTTGGCAGCAGCCCTGGCCTTTACCCACTAGATGCCAGTAGTGCTCTGCCTCCCACTTCCCCATTCAATTGTGAAAATCAAAAATTTCTTTAGACATTGCCAAATGTCCCCTGCTGGACAAAATTGCTCTGGTTAAGAACCACTGACATGGCCATATGACTTTGGCCAATCAAATGTGAGCAGAAGGGATGGTCAACCTTTAAAACATAGTACAACCTTTAAAACATAGTACATAGTACATAAAACATAGTACATAGTACATGAAAACCCACCATTTAAAGACATATGTGGAGATGGAGTCTTTGTTGGCCTAATCTTTGAGAGGTAACAGTGAGCAGTGCTCCCAGTTTATGCAGAAAATACACCTGTGACTTATGTTATTGATATTTTGGGGTTGATTGTCACCGCTACATCATGCTATGATTTAGTTTACCTGTGAACTTTCCATGCTTTCTCATTTATAGTCCCAAATCACTTTAACAACTACCTATATAGCATCTATTACTTAGTGTAATGTATTTGGATCTTCTAGATCAGTGCTTCTCAGAGGATTAAGTACTGCTCCTTGAGGGATGTTGTGAAAATTAGTTGGAGGAGTTTTGGTGGAGATAACTTTGAAGAATTATCTTGCATCCCACCACACTTTCAGATGCCCCAGAAATTCATGTAGGAGGAAACATACAATTAACCTAGAGCCCAATTCCATTTAATATGTACTCATTTTTTCAGAAATGAAATAATTTGGGTTTGTAATTGAAGTTGTTTTGTTTGGAACTTTATCAGGAATTCATCATTTTGGAAAATCTATGTCACCAATTGCAGTGCCATTGTGCTATTTGAATTGCCAAAACAACACACCTGTATTGGAAGGTTTGAATTTGTAGCTGTCATATTTATGGTGATTCTACACATAAGTGCAGGCATCTATCATTTTTTCTAAATTTGTTAATATGCCAGGGCATTTTTATTAAAATACATGTTTTATAAATCTTTTCCTTTGTATAACAATTAGGGTATTGTTGAAATTTTAAAAATAGGTGTAAATAGGTTTTTGTTTCAAGACACCTAACAGGGTGATAGAAATTATTTGTTACAAAATGTGATGTTTGATAGAGTTGAGAACCACTTTCTAATTATGCACTACTTGTTTTGTGTCTGTAGTGATTTGCACAGGGTAGATACAGTGTTTGTTGGATTGGTCAATTTGTGGTTCCACATTGCTTTTTTGTACTCTGTTGCATTTGATTACCACAGCAAGTCTGTAAAGTTGGCAAGGCATGTATTGCTCCCATTTTATAGATGAAAAAATTGAAAGATGTTAATTTACTTCAGTCATGTTGCTAGAGCTTTAATTAGAACATAAATAAATTTTATTTGCACCAGTCTGGTGCCCTTATCTACTATCATTACATACAACTCTTTTTAAAAAATTATAATGTAGAGTTCTTTAATGTAGGAAAACATCGATATACCCCTATTGATAATTATTTTTTATACAGGAAACTTTTAAATAATGTTTCAGGTACTTGTGGTCCTAGGAACACAGCAAAGATAAACACATATGACAGAGCCCTATTTAAGAAAGCAAGGATATTTTAATTAGCTTTCAGAGACATGTGCAATTAAAACTGTTTTTGAGATGTCATTGGGCACAAAGACTGCTTAAATTTTAGAAATGATAACATCTGATGGTGAGATTATGGTGAAATAGTTATCTCACACTTTAATTACATTGTAAATTGGTACTAATCTTTTGAAATTTAATATAAAAAATGAGTTCAACAAAGAAGTATTTGCACTCTTCAAAACTTGTTGCAAGGAAAAGCCACAGAATAAAAAGCTATAGTCAATCCACAAGCTTTTGCCTGGAATTTTTTAAAAAAGATTTTATTTACTTATTTTTAGAGAGAGAGGAAAGGAGGAGAAAGAGAGGGAGAGAAACATCAATGTGTGGTTGCCTCTCACATGCCCCCCACTGGGGACCTGGCCTGTGACTCAGGCATGTGCCTTGACTTTGTGGACTGTTGACTCTGACTCCAAATTCTTCCTTCCCCGTTTAGATAATTTTTGGTTATTTGAAAAGTGTACCTTAAAATATTTACTGAATGTATGCATGTGCTGAGTATTTAAAGATTTGAGGAAAAAATGCTTCTTTTCTGCATGGAGCTTGTAATTAGTTGCAGAGACAGGCATTTACCTGTGTAAAACAGATAACAATAATGGGAAACATGTGGTAGATACCAAGTGATTGATATACATTCTAAAGACGCCCCATATTCCAACAGTGTCCGGGAGAGTAGAAAGGAGCGGACTAAGGTAAAGAATCATGTAACTTTGTGAGAAAATATGGGGGTAGTGAAAAAGAGAGGAAGGTCAAAGATGCTTTATGAGGCTTTCCAGTGTTGGGTAATGGAATGGATGTAGTGCTTTAGAATTAAAGGTCATCAGAAGAGGAACAGGTTTTACTCTAGACTGATGAGTTAGTTTTATTTCTTTGATGTGGGGGGGCAGATTTTTAAAAATTGTAAGTAAATAGCAAAAGAAAATAAAAGCAAAATAAGCATGGAATGCAACAACATCAGCAAACAAACAAAAACAACCCAGCATGCAAAGTACAATCTCCACTCCAACTTTGTTATTTATTCCTAAACTGATGACCTTTTCTTATTCCATGTGAAATCTTTTTTAACAATAGTTTATTGATTATGTTACTAGTTTTCCCAATTTTTCCCTTCTTTGTCCCCCTTCTGTCCTGCATCCCCAACCCTCCAGCATTCCCACCCTTAGTTCATGTCCATGGGCTGTACACATAAGTTCTTTGACTTCTCTGTTTCCTATACTATTCTTAACCTCCCCCTGTCTGTTTCCTGCCTACCAATTACGTTTCTCATTCTCTGTGCCTTCTCCCCCATTCTCCCCCTCCCCACTGATAACCCTCCACATGATCTCCATTTCTCTGATTCTGTTCCTGTTCCTGTTCTAGTTGTTTGCTTAGTTTTTGTTTTCATTTTTGTGGGTTCACTTGTTGATAGTTGTGAGTTTGGTGTCATTTTATTGTTCATAGTTTTTGATCTTCTTTTTCTTAGGTAAATCTCTTTAACATTTCATATAATAAGTTCTTGGTAATTATGAACTCCTTTAACTCGACCTTATCTGGGAAGCACTTTATCTGCCCCTCCATTCTAAATGATAGCTTTGTTGGATTGAGTACTCTTGGATGTAGGTCCCTGCCTTTCATGACTTCAAATACTTCTTTCCAGCCCCTTCTTGCCCATAAGGTTTCTTTTGAGAATTCAGCTGATAGTCTTATGGGAATTCCTTTGTAGGTAACTGTCTCCTTTTCTCTTGCTGCTTTTAAGATTCTCTCCTACCTTTAATCTTGGGTAACTGAATGATGATGTGCTTTGGTGTGTTCCTTTTTGGGCCAATTTCTTTGGGACTCTCTGGGATTCCTTGACTTCCTGGCAGTATATTTCCTTTGCCAGACTGGGGAAGTTTTCTTTCATTATGTTTTTAAATAAGTTTCCAGCTTCTTGTTCTTGTTCTTGTTCTTCTCCATCTGGCACCCCTATGATTTGGATGTTAGAGCATTTAAAATTGTCCCAGAGGTTCTTCAGCCTCTCCTCATTTTTTTTTTTTTTTCAATTCTTGTTTCTTCATTCAGTTCTGGTGAGATGTTTATTCCTCCCTGGGCCCTGACAGGGAATCGAACTGGCGACCTTCTGGTTCGCAGGCTGGCGCTCGGTCTACTGAGCAACACCAGCCTGGTCTAATCCTTTCATCATTTTCACCTAGCTCCCTAACCGCCCAGCCCTCTATCAGCTATCAATCTGTTTTCTATATTTATGAGTCTTTCTATTTTTTTTTGTTTTATTCATTAAATTCCACATATAAGTGAAATTGTAGGGTATTTGTCTTTCTCAGTACATCCTTTTGATTTATCCAGCTAGTGGATGTGATGTGACATCTTTTTGTGATTTTGATTTTCATTTCTCTAATGACTAATGATGTTGAGCATTTTTCATGTGCTTTATGGCCATTCTTTGTAGAAATGAGTATTAGAATCCTATGCCCATTTGAAAATTGTTACTTACCTTTTTACTGTTGTCAGTAGTCTCTTTTAACAAAGATGGGTGGTGTTAATGGTGTTGACTGATAAACAGCATTTGATACTAGGTGATAGTGAAATTTTCATGTGTGTTAGTGACAGACTATTAGGTTTAACTAGTTGATCAAGAATATTTTAAAGTGCTGGTCTTAATAAGTATTTCATTTTAAAGTTATAAGATTTTACTTTAGGGTGACTAATACAATCAACAAGACTTGATTGAGCATGCCTTTATAAGGAGAAGGCCTAACTTTAATATTTTTGGAATGTCAAAAACAGCAACATTTTAAGTCATTTAAAAATCTAAGCACCAAATTTTAATTATGAGCATTGAGTTTTTGACTTAACTGGAGCAATGCCGTCTTTTCCCAAGTAATTGACTCTACTTTGTAAAATGTGTTCTAATATCTGTGTTCTTTCTTTATTTTTTTTTTTAGATTATCCTGAATACCACATGTCTAACAGTTTTCCTTGCAACGTTAGCCAGTATTTTTTTACTGCCACCAAAAGATCAAAATTGCTCTGGAAGTTGGAGACATATTTGATTTAAAAGAAATAACTTTAACAAATGGACAGTATGTCTATTACGAATACACCAACAAGTAATGATGCCTGTCTGAGCATTGTACATAGTTTGATGTGCCATAGACAAGGTGGAGAGAGTGAAACATTTGCAAAAAGAGCAATTGAAAGTTTGGTAAAGAAGCTGAAGGAGAAAAAAGATGAATTGGATTCTTTAATAACAGCCATTACTACAAATGGAGCTCATCCTAGCAAATGTGTTACCATACAGAGAACATTGGATGGAAGGCTTCAGGTTAGTTTGGTACTAAAGTTTCCTTATAACTCTTGTAGTGGCAGGCTTAAAAAACATCTTGTTTTCTCTTAAGTTTTTTTGGGGTGATTTAATCCTTGCTCCATCTCTTTAGATATTGTACATCTTGTACTAGTACACATTATAGAATCATATGGAAGTCTGTGTATTCCACATAATAAAGATATATTTTTAAAATTGTTTAATGTTCTGACCTAAAAGACAAATGTAGAAAATTTGGAACATAAAAATAAAAGAAGAAAATCCACACCTTTAGCACTTTGGTATTCATCCTTGTAGCTTTTTTTTTTCCTTTTTGGTATTATATGCACATTTTAAAAAACCTGAGTTATACTTGGTTCTCATGTAATTTAGAATTTTGATATTGTATGTTTGGTACTTTTATATAAAAAACAATCTAGAATTCAAGCTTATCTTTAAAACTTGAGTTAAAAAGCTTATATTTTACAAATGCTCTTTACCTTTCATTTTAACAAGTCTCATTTTTCATGTGGAACTACAAATACGTATGTGCTGAATTTTTTTAAAGAAACCCTAAGTCTTCAGATTAAAAAATAATTTTATTTCTAGATTTTAGGCATAATTTCTAGAACAAACTCATACTTTTTTTTGCATTTTTAAAACCTGAGCACAGGCCTTGAAATCACACCTGAGCTCACCTCACTGTGACCATGGCTGAGTAAGTTACTTTGAGCTTCAGTTTTCTCATTTGTGAGATGAGGGTCATAGTGCTGACTTGTAGGGTTCTGAGGGTTAGATCAGAATGTGTTTGAAGTGTCTTGTTAATGTGTGATGTATAACTGATGCTTAACAAGTGGTCCTTTATTTTTCCTAGGTGGCAGGTCGGAAAGGATTTCCTCATGTGATCTATGCCCGTCTCTGGAGGTGGCCTGATCTTCACAAAAATGAACTAAAACATGTTAAATATTGTCAGTATGCGTTTGACTTAAAATGTGATAGTGTCTGTGTGAATCCATATCACTATGAACGAGTTGTATCACCTGGAATTGGTAAGTAGATTTTGCCTTTATCCTTGGAAGCACAAAGGGAAAAGATCTTATAGTGTTTTAATTTTTCTAAGTTAAATTATAAATTTGGAAGAGGCCCAAGGGTGCAACTAATGCTAAATAATAAAACATTTTTAATGCAATAAAAATATTTAAATTTCAACTTTGGAACAAACTTGTATTTTTACTGCTAAAATCAAATAGTTGGTGCTTTTGCCCATTTAGAATATTTTTGAAAAAGAAGATGGAAAATGTGGTAAAATTAAATAGTTCATGTATTGTCAGATAGCATTTACATTTCTATTCTTGAATTAAAATGGCTCATGAAATTTTGACTATAGCTTATATTTCTGTTCTGTGATTTTTAAATGCAGTGGAAAATATTTTCATGGTAATGATTAATGTTTCATTTTCTTTTCCCCTTTAAAAAATGAAGATCTCTCAGGATTAACACTGCAGAGTAATGGTAGGTAATCTGTTTCTTGTAACTTTCTCTGTTTTCTTTTATTCTTTCCCCTCTATTTTTTATTCACTTAGAAATTTTGTGGATACTGATAACATTTACAAGAAAAAGTTTACCACTTTGGAAATGTAGATTTTGGGGTGTGTGCATGCATCAGCATTTAAAATGATTAAATAAGCTGTTGCCTCTTTGGATTTGAACTGCTATTTGTGAGCTAAAGTAGTCTAAAAGTATGACAGGAGAATATAAAACATACAAAGGAAGAATATTTTTTAAATCAGTTAAAACTGGTTATTTTGGAAGAAAATCTCACAGAGCTAGTTTAAATGGGTATAAATACCTGTAATGTTTGGTAATTTGGAATCATGTATAACATTTTTAAGATGCCAGTATTCTAGATTTTCTTCATTTCAATCTAACATTTTTATTTTTATGATAGATAATTTTAAGAATGATCTAAAACTACATATATTAATATTTTTCAGTCTTGTTACATTTTGAGTAGATAAAACAAAGGGCACTGTGCATGCTGGTCACAGAGGATCTAATCCTGTTTTAAAAAGGAGAAAGTGGAGGTGGGGAAATGCATCAAATGCTGTGTGTGTTCTTTGTTTTATTTTTTAGTGTAATATTTAAGAACAGAGATCTGTTAAAACTTTAGCTCTGGTACTTAGAACATGTTGATAAGCTCGAAATTCTGTAAGAACTAGTTAATTTGCAGAGAAATTGATAAAGAGCCACTATCATCTTAGAAAGGTGTGTTATTATTGTGGGGGGAATTAGTGGCTCAGCACCTCTTCTGTTGCAGAATATTAGAGGCGGGTCAGAAATATCTGAAAATTTAGGAGGAGCATGGAGGTCTGCTTGTTTTTATTCTCCACTTTTGTTTCATGTCACTAGTAATAGAAGATCCTAGTCTTAGTGCCTAGTCCTGGTACTTGTTTGTGGTCAGTAGGCTTCTGACAACAAGGGTTAGTAATGGAAGGTGCTGTGGTAGTCTGGGAAGAGCAGCTGTAAGATTGGTTAAAGCCCTGTCATGACAGATGCTGATGTCATGTCAGTTCCCATCTTCACTATTCTCCATCCATGTTTTCGGCGAAGTAAAGCATTTAGCTCGGGGGTTGTTAGGGGTTTAGGAGACTGTAGTGGTAACTATCTCAAGATCTCCATAGGGTGGTGGTTGTGAGGGGATCCAGTTCTGAAGAGTCATTACACTCCTTCCCTACCCTAAAATATTGCCGTTTTTGATGGGATCGTGTAGGTTAATATAGCCTCTCTTTAGTGGCTCCAGGGCTGTCTTCAGCCTTGTAGAGGTGGTTATGTATGTAAAAGATGGCTTCAAAGGCTTATTTCCTCAGAAAACAAAAGGTGTTTTTCACAGCTCTTTCTAGATTTGGTCAAAGAAATAATACAAGACCAGGTAACTAAAAGTTAATACAACAGGTTAATTCCTTCACTTTTGAGTTAGGATTGTGGTGGTAGTAATCATTTCTAGCCTGTCTCATCTCTTCTATGAAGCTTTCCATGACCACATCCACTTGTATATTCACTTTAACAAATATTTAATGAGCATGTATTGCCTGGTACTGTGTTAGGTTCCAGGGACAATAGGACAAATAAGGTATGTTTTCTTTACCTAGGGAGCTCAGAGTCTAGTCTAGGAGGAAAGAAAAAGTAAGTAAGGCAGCGACAGTCCCATCAGACAAGTATGAGGCCTACCTGCTGGTGGTGATAGAGAGTACAGAGCTAGAACAAGCCCAGTGGCTTCAACTTTTCTGTTTCCTGTGCACTCCTTACCGCTCATCGAACATTCTGCAATAACTGTATGACTGCTCTGAAAATATGGTTAACTCATAATAGCTGACGCTAAGTGCTCGTTTTGTATCAGGTACTGAGCTAAGTGATTTACAAGTATCGTGTCATCATTCTCACAGTGCCCCTCGTGGTAGGTGGCATTATCCACACTTTATCAAGGATGAAGAGACTGGTGCCCAGAGAGGTCAAGGAACTTGTCTGAGATTAGATAGCTAGCAGGAGCTGGGGCAATGTTTGCTCACTGTTAGGTATTTAAATGGTAGAAAAGTACTATAGAATACTGTAAGCTCCATGAAGATAGAGATCTTTCTTTTGTTTATTGATGTATCCCAAGTGCTAGAACAGTACCTGGAACATAGGTGCTCAATAAATATTTTTTTAGCGAATGAATTTGTTGAATGCTCATCCATAAAGAGAAATACTTAACAGTTTGGTGTCTGTTTTTCTAGACTTTAAAAAATATATACTATATGTTTTTTTAATTTTATTTTTTTGAATAGGCAATACATGATCCATAAATCAAAATACTATAAAAAGGTATACAGTGAACAGAAGTGCTCCCACCCTTGTCCCCATTCCCCCCCACCTCAGGTAATCACTTTTATTAGTTTCTGGTGTTTCCTTCCAGGGTTTCTATATGCAGAAATACATGTACCATTTCCCTCCTTTATTACACAAAAAGTATATTGTGCACTTTTCTGGACCTTGCTTTTTTACTTACAGTGTATGATTTTTTTAAACATGCATATGATCATACTGTACAATAGTGTTTTGTAATCTACTTTTTTTCTCTTGGCAAAAATATACAGCAGACATCTATCTTGTTGATGCCTACAATTTTACCTAAGAAACAGATGTTTTTAGTTACTTGATTTATAGACCCTGTAGACTGGTAGAAGTCTCAAACTTACCTTTGGGAAAGTTTAGCCAACATATTGGGCAAGAAAAAGTTACGAGACATACTTTTTTGAAAGCAGAATTCAGTTGTTATGATTGCATATTAAGCTGGAGAGTCAACAGAAAAGCAGAAGCAGTGAGTATCAGTTTGACCAACTATATTCTGAAATCAATAGCTTTTTCCTTGTGTAGTAGTAATACTGGTATCTAGGTGATTAGATCCTAGTCACTATAACAGCAAAAGTAACCCCTAAAATGTCCAGAAATTAAGTAGAGACATCAGGATCTATATGAAGAAAATCACAGAACTTTGTTGAAGAGTGTAATTTAAAGAACAGATTGAATATATACAGCCATTCCTACTTTATGCCCCAAATGATGTTTTTTCTTCATATTTTTATAATTTGGTCAATATTAGTGATGAGTGGTTGGGTTCTTTTTTTCATTATTATTTTTATTTTTTTATTTTCCCTGATGTATTATGATGTGTTAAGCATCCTTTTGGTTATCTTTCTGTTTTTGTAGAATTTTCTAAAGAGAAACTCTTGGGAGTGAAATTTATGTGTCTTAAAAATATTAATGTCTTCATGACTTGATTCATAAAGAACCTTTAAAAGATTGTGCATAGAAATTTGAACAGTGAATTGTTCTTGCTGTGTTGAAATATTCTCAGTTTAATGAAAAAAATAGCCACTCAAATAATTGGTATTTATTTGTAAGGTTTTTTTTTTTATTTTTTTTAAGATTTTATTTATTTTCAGAGAGGGAAGGGAGGGAGAAAGAGAGAGAGAAACGTCAATGTGTGGTTGCTGGGGGCCATGGCCTGCAACCCAGGCATGTGCCCTGACTGGGAATTGAACCTGCGATGCTTTGGTTCGCAGCCCGCACTCAATCCACTGAGCTATGCCAGCCAGGGCTATGTGTAAGGTTTTTTCAAAGATTGACAGGGAAAGATAAAGAGCTCAGTATGCTGGTTCTTAATGGAAAAGAGAATGTCTTCATGGACTTATTAACTGTTCTAAGAAAAGAACCTAGTATTAGAATTCAACAGATTGTAAAATTCTGGGGTAGTGTTAGTTCAGAAGCAGTAAGTGGTTTTTTGCTAAAGATAAAAGCACACCCCAAAACAGTAGCCCCAAAACAAATATGCGTGGAGATTCTGGATAGAGAACAATTAACATTTATAAATACAGTTTGAGTTTTCTTTTTTCCTCACAACAAACCCTATTCCCTGGTTTGTTCAAGGAAAGGTATTATGTTACATTAGTTACAGTCTAGCTTTGCTTATTAACGTGTAAGCATACAGGTGACAGATGTTGATTATTAAGTTTTTTCACGTCACATATTTATCAAACATCATTTGATAAATTTGGTTGCTTTTCTAGAAGGAAGTTTCAGTTTGATGAAACATTTAGGATTTTTCTGTGTGGTTCTTAACCCTTCAGGGACATTCAATATACTTCACTTTCAAAGACTGTGTTATTTAACTAATTCTAGATCCTGGAATTGGATAGTTATCAGATCCCACTCATACGTCTACAGTGTGTGAAATTAGCAAAAAGAGATAGCTAAGTACTCAGTCTCAATTCATCTTCTCATCTGGGTGAATATTTTCCCCAGCCATTTGGTTTTTGTCTGCCTCATGTTATGTATTTAAGGTGATTATTATTTCTAGGTTAATCAAGAAACTAAGGAATACCTGTTCAGAACCGTTGTGGAAATTGTTGGAATATAGTCTAGCTTCAAATTTCAAGGAGTCATTCAAATTTATGATAAAATATATCTGACACTACTACCTCTAAATAAACAGCTTTTGCTGATAAAGTAATATGCTTTAAAAATATTGTGGAAAAATTCTGTCCTTTACACTGTAGTTGATTTTAGGTGTTATATTGCTTACAAGATTTTTTTCCGGGAGTAGAAGCTTAAAAGATTTAAAAATGTTTAATTTTCTGTATAGCTCCACCAAGTATGTTGGTGAAGGATGAATATGTTCATGACTTTGAGGGACAGCCATCGTTATCCACTGAAGGGCATTCTATTCAAACCATTCAGCATCCACCAAGTAATCGTGCATCGACGGAGACATACAGCACCCCGGCTCTGTTAGCTCCATCGGAGTCGAATGCTGCCAGCACCACCAACTTTCCCAACATTCCTGTGGCTTCCACAAGTGAGTTGTAGAATGAGATGCAGTCACAAGCTGAATTTCTCTAACTATAAAATCTTTATATGTAGTCACTTGGAGGAAAACTCCTAGAAAGTAAAAGTACTAGGATATCTTTCATTCGTAAACAAGTATTAAATAGATTTTTGTGTTGGTCCTGGAAAAAATGGTTTGTAGTTTATTTAAATATTTTTATGCTGATGTATAGTCACTTGGAATTTAATTAATTACTTTGATTATAATATTGATTTAAATTAATGGTCTGATTTGTACTTTATCACTCTTACATGCAGAAGTGAAAAGCCTCTTGAGCTTTCAGATACATTTTAGAGAAATAGTTAAGTGGTTAACAAGTAATTTTAAACCAACATGTTTACAAAACTCTGTGTAGATGGAATTGTGAGCTTTCTCTTAATCAGTGTTTTTATTTTGATTTATCAGGATATTACGTCATAAGTCATTTTAGTCTCCTGTTGTGCAAACTTAGAAGGGATCTTGACAAACTTGTTTATAACTTGATATCCCTCAAGATAAACATTAAGTATTTTAGTCAGTTGCAAAATAAAGTTAATTCTGTGTATCTAACTCAGATGTTTTTTTCAAATAAGTCTAATTTCAAAAAGGTTTTTCCCATAATAGAGGGGCCACCTTCCCTGCCCCAGGGCTATTAGGTTCAGCTTTTCTTAGGGGGCTGATCAAGGCTTTAATGACTTGGTTCTGTTAGTGCTTTTATTTATTTCCCAATCACCAAATATTGGACAATTTGCATGGAGTAGCTTTTATAGACTAATCACAGAGTGGGGTATTGGCATGTGAATGGTGTTATTTGCTCCTCGTTGCTAAGGATATTGTATATAAGCCCACATCAGCACTGGGTGTTGATAGATCTGGACTGATACTTTGTTAGCTGCTAAACAAAGGGAACATTATTCTTTTTACTTTAATATCAAATCAGATTCAGTTTAGAAAGTTGATCTTTGGAAATAAATGGAGGACTGATTTATATAATTGAGTTTTTGAGTGAAGCATGCCAACTTTCCCACTCTTTAAGTCATTTCACCTCTTCAAAGCAATTATCATTTGGATTTGCTGCATGAGATGACAGTCTCATCAAATAGACTCATGTAATCTCTATGCGAAAATATGTGAGAATAGTCTCACATATTCTAAGAAGGTCATATCGGTTAAGCACTTACTTTAGAACCTGGACCCTTAATCACTTGATGCTTCTGTTAACTGTGTATTCTTTATGTACTAATTTGGGTAATATTGTTCACGAAGAGAGTGGGTAGTGATGGAGAATAAATTAGTCTCCAGCATAGATTATTAGTGCTAGAGCACAGTCACCCAACCTTTGTTGGTATTATCTTGAGGTTGAATTTGTACACCTTTGTTGATGCGTGCAGAATTGGCTTCATTTTAACTGTCCTATTCCCTATGACGACTAGAAAAAGTGATATGAATGAAATGCAGATACTTTTGTCTTGATATCTTTTGGATGTATTTTCATAATTGAGTAATAATTGCGTTAAGTTTTAGAGTTTGTTGCAAATTTTTGTGCATTACATCTCAAAAAGCATATCGATATTTATATATAGTCACTTGGAGGAAATTAAAAGAAAAATTGGATTAAAATGGAGGAATTGGAAGACTTTTACATGAGCTGATTTACTTGTATTGTTGAATTTCATTATATGTACTTGAGATTGTATAGTAGAAATATTCAGTACAGATAACTGCATTGAGCTCCTTTACACTTTATGTTCATGTGGCACCTGTGTGTCTTCAGAGTCTCTTTCTAAACATCTGTAAATTAAAATCACAAGATAGCTTGCAAAAATTTCAGTGGGTGAGTAGGAAATGAAATTAATAAAAACATTGTCTTTAAAAATAAATAATTTGGGGAGTATTTAAATACTTTCTGTAGTTTTTAGTCTTAGGGAAATGTGATTTGTAGAGAGAAGAATGTTCCTTTTCCTTGATACTTTGAGCAGTGGTCTTTTACTCCCCTTCTCTCTGATTAGACTCTCATTCAGATAAGAAAAAATGGAGATATGCCAGTAACAGATAACAGTTATGAAATGTCAGTGCTTTCCAAATGAGATAAATAATTCACTTAATTAATGCTTGCTTGGAGAAATCAAGTTTTTTCCACTTAAAAAAACCCCTAAAAAATGTAGGCCAGTAAGCAATATCAGAATGGTTTTGAATGGAATAGAAGCTAGAGGAGGCTTAGTCCTCTATATTACATATAGAGAGGGCAAGTAATTTCCTGTAAATTTAGAATTTACAGGAAATGTTCTTGGTAAGAAGTGATTCTTGGTTTTTAAAAGCACATGAAAAAAATTTCAAAGTAGACCGATAGTCTGATAGTGGGTTTTTTTGTTTGTTTTTGTTTTTAACTTGAAAATGCTATATGACTGGACAGTGGAGCTTGAAAAAAATTTTTTTTTTAATTTACTCACCTTACCCATCACATTCCATTTAATATATTTGCCTGCTTTTCTTTTCTTTTATCAAACCCTAGCATTATATTATTACTGGTATCAGAGCTGATAATAATGGACTTTTGAAGTCTGAATCAGAAAAGTCCAGAGCTGGATGGAATGGCCTGGGGTGAGCTGATGTGCTTCAAGTTGTTATGATAGGGATTTTGCTGACATTTTGAAGAATATTGTGAATAAATAGGCCACTAAAATTAGCTAGACATTACTTAAGATAAAATAGTTTTGAACTCCTCCAAGTTTTGCCTTTATAGTGGACTTGAGAATTTTTTATTTGATAGGCCATGAATGAGTTCCACTTTTTGCCTATTTTTATGGTGACTATCAGATATAATTTAGTCCTTCCTTTGCTGTATAAAACCATAGGATTGCATCTGTACATGTACCATATTAATGCCTTCTTGTTCCTCTAGGTCAGCCTGCCAGTATACTGGCAGGCAGCCATAGTGAAGGATTGTTGCAGATAGCTTCAGGGCCTCAGCCAGGACAGCAGCAGAATGGATTTACTGGGCAGCCAGCTACTTACCATCATAGTATGTACATGCTTTTTAAAATCTTTTAAGTAGACGAGAAAAAAATAGGCAGACTTTATAAAAGCAAATTAATCCATGTGGGCCTTAATTTTTAGACAGCACTACCACCTGGACTGGAAGTAGGACCGCACCATACACACCTAATTTGCCTCACCACCAAAACGGCCATCTTCAGCACCACCCGCCTATGCCGCCCCATCCCGGACATTACTGTAAGCTCTTGTTTTTGTTGTAGGGGCCTTTTCTTTTTGAGGACTTTGTTTTTTTTTGTTGTTTGTTTTTTTTTCATTTGAAAAAAATGTTTTTACATCTTCTATTCATCTAACAATTTAGTTTTATTAAATAGTGTTTTTCACTATTTTTGGTAAACAGTATTATTTATTTTTTATAATTATGTTGTCATACCTTTTAGAGGAGTGATGTTTACTAAATACATTTATTTTTCTCTTGCTAATGTTTCATTAACACCACATTGATTTCCATTCATTTGTTTGTTTGCTTTGTGTATGTTCTTAGATCTCATATGTATGTGTATATCCACCCCAAGTTGATGGAAACCCCTTGAGTATCAAAACCTCAAGGTTTCCCTCCCTGTATTACTTAGCATACCATAGACATTCAGATGTTGAATCCTTCATTACTCTGCGCAGGTGTGATTGGGAGGGATACCCTTCTGATGAACATAGCTTGTAGTTCAGGCACAGTAGGAACACTGTTCATTTGGCATAGTAAAATCTAGAGTATAAGTCTTTCATATATATTGAGTCTTTTTTCCCTCTAATATAAGATTAATAGTACCAAAGAAACTTAGAAAATACAGAAAAGTATAAATAAGAAAATAAAAATTACCTAGAATTCTGTGACTCAGAGAGTCTACTTTTAATACTTTGGCATGTTTTCCTTCCAGTCATAGAAATGGGTATATATAGATTTGGGGAGTGGGGGGGAGATCTTACTGTGTATATTGTTTTCCAGTTGTGTTACTATTTTTCCATGTTTTAAAAGAATATAATTTTTAATGGCTGCCTGGGCCAGCATAGTGGTTAAAGTTGCTGAACTTGGACCCTTAACTGGCTGTGTGACCATTAGCAAGTTCTTTAATCCTTCAATGCCTTAAGAGTAATAATAGTAGTATCCATTTCAATGTTGTAAGAAGTAAATGTAATAATTCATGTGAGATGTTTAGCATAGTGTCTTAACACATAATAATCTCTCAGTTATATTAGCTATTGTTCCATTATGGAAGTGTCCTTAATTAAATAAACCATACACACTTGATTTTAGAATGGACCTAATGATTTGAATTATTATTATATATTACATTATAAATTATGCCACATTATATGTTATGTGAATAATTTATTTTTAATTTACAATACATTTTGCATGTACAACTGTTGTAAATTTCTTAATAGCACTTGGCACATAGCACAAAAATGTTACTTATTAAATATCTACAAAAGTAATTCAGGAGTATTTGCTTACTATAATTATAGTCTAAACTAAGCTTTTACGTTCTCAAATGTTGCATAAGCCTGACCCAAGCCGCTCCTAAGGTATGGTAGTTATTTTTAAGTAAGCCTTATTAAACATTTTAGCATTGGTGAACTTTTAATAAATAAAATTGGGATTTTTATTGTGTTTTCTTTAGGGCCAGTTCACAATGAGCTTGCATTCCAGCCTCCCATTTCCAATCATCCTGGTAAGTGTATTTCCAAATTGAGTCCCTATTTAGATTTTCTTTATGGTAGTAGAAACACATAAACAGGCTTTAATATAATTACAAAGTAATTTAATGTTTGGATAAGTACAGTTCTCATTATGGCATTAATTAGTAACCAATGTAATCACACATAAACTGTTTATATTTGACTCTTTTTAACTGCCTCTGAAAGAAAATAACTATCTTCAGTTAAGGTATAAAGTACCAAAATGCTGATTTTAGCAATGAATACATAAATATGCAGCAAGAGAAAACTAGGTTTCAAAACAGAACTGATGTAAAATTGTAGCTTAAAAAGCTAGAGAAGGATCTGAAGTAGATGCTGAAAAGAAAAATAATTCACTCTTTCTTAGATGATAAGTTCAGGAATCTCTGGCTAATTGTAATTTAGGGACTGATTAAATTATGCTCAAAGAGTAAATGGCTAAGTAGATTTTCCAGTTCATAGTTTGAATATTAACTTCTTAAAATATAGAAGTAATACAACAAAGTTTAGAAATAAGGTACCAAAGGCTTCTTAACATAAGCATAGGATTTTGATTTGTTTTCCTTTCTTCTATCCCTTCATATCTTTTTTCTTATCATAAAAAGATATAAATATATAATTTCAGCTCATCACCTTTTTACCCTAATTCAAAATACGTTTTATCATAAGAATTTTAAGCATATACCAAATGCCATATTAGTATGGAAGATCCCTCCTTCACTGTACTCATCCCTTGGTGTAGCTATTAACAACTAATGGCCAATCCTTTTTCATTCATACTCTTATGTACTTCCCCCCCCAACTAAATGTTATCTATGACAAAAGTCCATAAAGTTTTTGTGTGTTTTTTAAATCCTCGCCCTAGGTAAGTTTTTTATTACTTTTAGAGAGAGAAATATCCATGTAAGAGAGAAGCTTCAATTGGTTGCCTCTTGTATGTGCGCCGACTGGGCATAGTATGCGCCCGAACTTTCAATTAAGGGATGCCGCTCCAACCAACTGAGCCACACCAGCCAGGGCCCCTCACTTACTTTTCATTCATACCCTTGCCTTTTATTTTGAAGGAAATTCTGTGTGTTCATTTTATATGTAAGTATCTAAGTATATGTTTCCAATAAAGATTTTTTTAAAAAATGTGACTGTGGTAATTATATGATCAATTCAAAGGATACTTTCTAATTCCTCAAATAAATCTACATAATTTTCTTAAACAGTGTTTTGCTATTTGTTGTTTATGTTGGCTCCATTTTTTTCTTCTGTCTTATTAAACAAAACATTGAAGGTGACATCTTTATGCTTATAACTCTTTTTTTTTATTTTATTTATTTATTTTTAGAGAGGGGGAAGGGAGGGAGAAAGAGAGGGAGAGAAACATCAATGTGTGGTTGCCTCTCATGTGCCCCCCTACTGGGGACCTGACTGGCAACCCAGGCATGTGCCCCAACTGGGAACTAAACCAGCAACCTTGTGGTTCACAGGCCAGCACTCAATCCACTTAGCCACACCAGCGAGGGCAACATTTTTATTGAGAAATGTAAAATACAGAAAAGTACATAAAATACGTATACATACAGTCTAATCAATAATGTTAAAGCCAACACCTGTATTGAATGCCACCCAGATTGAAAACTAAATTATTACCCTCCCCACAGAAACCTTCCTACTTCATGCATTTGTCTCAGTCAAAAACTTTCCCTCTCCTTTCCCCAGAGATAACCACTATCCTGCTTTTTATGGATACTGTTTTTCTGCTCTTTGAAAATGATGATGCATCCTTAATCTAGTTTTGTAGTTTGGTTTTACTTGCATTTGAAATGATGTAATTGAAATCATTGTATCAGAATCTTAATTTTGTTTGTAAATAAATATATTGTGATAAGAGGGGAAAATCTAGAATCTTAAGAATGAGACTTTTTGCTGGCTTTAAGGCAGCATCATTGAGAGTCATTAGTGGCCCCTGGCAACTTCATGGGGCAGTGGGTAGTTCTCAGTCTCCCTAAGTCTTAGAGGAAGGTGATCTGCAGGAATGACAGTAGTCAGGGCTCTGAAGAAAGACCTACCCTGGATGGAATGGTGGAGTGGGGTTGGGAGTGGTGGCATTTAGCTAGTTATTTGGACTCAATTTTAGATTCTGCAGTTGCTTTTGGCCTTATGATAGGTTTATTTCATTCTTCTTAGGATAGAACTTATGTTAAGGCCTAATAGCTTCTGGTAGTTAGGGAATAGCATACACTAGTTATGAGGATATGCGTCTGTAGCATCCTGCATGGGCATTAAAGCTTCTGTCTTTGAGCAGAATAGGAAGTAACTTAATGGTTAGGATGATCTTGAAAGGTTTCTTTCCAGTGGTTGCTGGAGGGGATCCACTCTGCACATGCACCTTAAATATAGTCAGCTAGTTGGAACCCAGATGTCTGTGAACTCTTTGGCTATGAATACTAATGGGCTCAAGAACAGTTCTTTTACCTCACTACCATTAGTTTTTCTCTTGTACTGTTAAAAGAATATTTTAACTGATCTCTCTATTGAGAGCTTCCAGTCACATTGCTCTCCTCTCTGCCATTTAATATGTACTATATTCAATATTTCTTTTATTTTTTTAAAGATTTTATTTATTTTTAGAGGGAGGAAAGGAGGGAAAAAGAAAGGGAGAGAAACATCAGTATGTGGTTGCCTCTCATGTGCCCCTACTGGGGACCTGGCCCGCACTCCAGGCATGTGCCCTGACTGGGAATCAAACCAGCCACCCTTTGGTTCACAGGCTGGCACTCAATCCACTGAGCCATGCCAGCTAGGACAGTATTTCTTTTAAAATTAGGATCTAGTTGTTATTTCTCTATTAAAAAGATCTTGCATTGATTTTCCTGCTTATTGTTTGGCCATAGGATCAAGTCCAAATTCCTTACCTAAGCAAAAAAGAAAAGGAAAAAAAGAGTCTCTGATCCTTGTCTGCTTATTTCGCTGGCCTCATCTCTCTGTGCTTTAACCATCCTGAGCTCTCTGTACCCAGGCTTGCTCGGCTGTATCATCCCTCTGTGCTTTTTTTTTCATGTGCTGTTGTCCTCTTATGTCTTATGCTCTATGTATACATAAAATTAAATCTGTTATTCTGCAACAAATTACTCCCCAAATTTAACAGATTGAAACATCAATGACAATTTATCTTACTTCATTTCTGTGGGTCTGGGAGTGGCTTAGCTGGTTTGCCCTGGCTCAGGCTCATGAAGTTGCAGTCAAGTTGTTGGCTTGGGTTGCCATCATCTGAAGGCTTTTCTGAAGTTGGGGGATTCACTCTCAGGGTGACTTACCAACACACCTGGCAAGTTAGTGTTATGGTTGGCAGGAAACTGCAGTTTCTCTCTGTGTAGACCTCTCTAGAGCTTCTGGAGTGTTTTCACATGACAGCTAGCTTCTGCCAGGGTCAGTGATCAAGAGAAAGTGAGACAGAGCCTTGGTGTCTTTCAGACTTAGCCTCAAAAGTTACACCATTTCCATCAAATTCTGTGTTGTAGGGAGGGGACTACACAAGGATGCGAGTAGCAGGAAGTGAGAATCGCTGGAGACAGCTGGATGCCCGTACTGGGCTTCCCTGATGTACTGAACACGGCGAACACTTAAGATCCAGCTTAAGGGAACCACAGTTGGGAAGCCTTTCCTGATCCCCTCTGTGTCCGCTGCTCTAGTACTGTCTAACTCTACTAAATTACAGTTATTAGCTTACATAGCTGCTGTTGTGTTTCATGAATAAATAGAAAAGAAACCAAAGTGAAATATTTGTGTTAGGTATATGGTTAATGCAGTCCCTTAAGGTCTAATTAAGAAATGCTAAAATATTCTACTACAGACTGAGGACCATTTAGACAGGAAATATGCATATACCTTTCAATATGTAAAATATTTTAAGTAATTAATAATCATCAATAATATGTAGTGAATCTATTTTGGGAAGTTATTTTTGAAGATTGTTGCATAAATGTTTTAGGAAAATAGGTAATATAAATTGTAGAAGATGAATATAATTAGTATTGGTTGCTACCTTGGTGTTAAAGATTTTGGACAGGCCCTATACTTGGTGATTTCTGTGCTTTGACTTGGATAACTAGTTGAAAAATAGTTTTAGAAAAGGTCACCATTTCACTTCTTTTCTTATGGGTTCTGTTTTCACTTTTTTAAAAAATTTAATCTTATTTTTTTTCCATTACCATTTAGTCCCCTTATACCCCTCTCTCAACAGCAGTCACTGCACTGCTGTCGGTGTCTATGAGTCCTCTTTCCTTGTTGTTCAAGCCCTCTGTCTCCTCACCTTCCCTTCTCCCCACAGCTGTTACCCTGCTTTTCCTCTGTGAGTCCGTCCCCATTTACCATGTTAGTTCCGTTTGTTCATTAGATTCCCCATATGAGTGAAGTCATATGGTACTTGCCTTTCTCTGACGAGCTTATTTCACTTAGCATAATGTTCTCCAGGTCCATACATACTATCACAAAGGGTAAATTTTTTTCTTTTTTTATGGCTGAGTAGTATTACATTGTGTAAATATCTCATAGTTATTTTATCCCCTCATCTACTGATGGACACTTGGGCTGCTTCCATATTTTGGCAATTGTAAATAATGCTGCAGTGAACATAGGGGTCCTTATGTTCTTTCACATTAGTGTTTTGGGTTTCTTTGGATATATTCCCATAAGTGTGATTGCTGGGTCAAAAAGCAGATCCATTTTTAATTTTTCGAGGTATCTCCATATTGCTTTCCACTGTGGCTGCACCAATCTGCATTCCCACCAACAGTGCAAAAGGATTCCTTCCCCTTTCTCTACATCCTCGCCAGCATTTGTTTGTTGATTTATTGATGATAGCCATTCTGACAGGTGTATTTCATTCTGTATTTCACTCAGGTGTAGCCATTCTGAGGTAGTGTATTTCATTGTGGTTTTAATTTGCATTTCTCTGATGATCAATGATGATGAGCATCTTTTCATATCTGTTGGCCGTCTG